GCATGTGTCTTTAGTGCATTCAGTGTCCTGTAGAAGACGGGTAACATTCTTGCTGAGTTGGGCACAGTTGATTATAGCCGTAAGTGAAACTTACTTGTTTTAAAGCCTTTGTTTGTCCTAGTGTGTCGACAAAAGGCCACTTTAATTCCCATTGCTCCCGATTGTACACGGACCTTTTGTTTCCCTGGCACAAGGTGAGGCTGTGGAAAACGAGTGACATAACTGGCGACTGGGGGGTGCTGAACTCTTACAGGCTAAAAGACACGGACAAATTACTAGCAATGAAAAATAGTTGTGAGTTGCTACAAGGAAACTGTTCCACTGTTTGGCTAATTGGAACAGGTCGCCCAGACAGGTTGGTCAGTCTCTCTCCCTGGAGGATTTTAAGACCCAACTAGCTCAAGCCCTGAGCACTGTGGTCTGATCCTTTTTTTGGAGGTTGGACTGGGCACTTCCAGAGGTACCTTGGAGATGGGGTTGTTCTGCGGGTCTGAGTGTTAGCAACAAAGTCCTGCCTAACTGCCGTCTCACTAGGCTGGCTGCAAAGCGATAGATTTGATTAAAGGGCAGATTTACACCTAGGGAAGGCCACATGAGGCAAGAGAAGTTCCATCTCAGCAGAGCTCTCTCTGCCTCTAAAGCAGGATTTTCAGCCTCAATAATCTCTGGTGTCCTGGAAGCCCCCTCTGACAGGTCAGGCCAGCTCTGATTTTGTGCTAATTGGCACTTTAATTGTGTTAATTTGACACTGTGGTTCCACAGTGTATGCTGCCACTTAATTTGGGTAAAATTCTCTTGTAGTCTGATGCAGGCACTGTTTGCCTGCATTATTTCAGCCTTGTTTGTTTACTGCAGAGACTGAACAGGGTGCTTAAACGTTGGCTCATGCTCATACGGCATCCGGAGGCACCCAGGCCGTTCCTGGCGAGTGCTTCATGAGGTCAAGGCCACATCTCTTGTTCCGTGGAGCTGTCGCTCTGCCACTCTGCGCAGAAAACCTGACTGTTGTCCTGGGCAGAGTGCTGGTCTGTTGAAGTCCATTTTATGACACCCTGTGTTGAAAAAGCATCTGTGGGGTTGTGGTCCTCACGCCCTTAGCTCTTCTCCGTTGTCACATTTCAGAAGCCCTGGGTCACACAGGAGTGGCCAGGCTAAAAGGGAAAAACATCTCCGATTAGCATGGTCTTGTTTTCACTGAGCTGGTATAAATCTCATCTGTTAAGATAATGTGAAATGTGGGGAGGGGTGTCTGCAGTGAAGGTGGAAGCGGGTCAAGCCAAAGAATGCAGCCTGATGATTGCAGTCGTTAAAAGCAGCAGGGAGAAAGAGGAGCCCGCTCCTTTGAAGATCTTACATGCTAAGGACTATAAACAGCACTTAACTGATGCTCTCCCGGTTCCAGCTGTTTTGAGGCTGCCTGTTTGAAACAGTTTTTGCTGCAATTTTTCATAAGCTTTTGCAGAGGGTAGTCTGGCAGCAAACTGATGGGGTGATGGGGTGCAGTTGAAAGGGATGGTGTTGTACGGTATCAGCAGCTCCCTTGGGCTGACAGCAGCATTTCACTCGCTGGGCATTGAGCTATCCAGAAACCTAAACCAGTAGAAAATTAAGATTTTTCCTGCTGGTTAACTCTGGGCTGGCTTGCTATGGGGTCAGCTGAGCTGCTGGCAGCAGCACAAATAAGAGGCTAGAGGAAAGGTGGGAAAGTGGCTTATCTGTATGGTCAAAGCATTTTCTTAGCCTTCATTTCTTTTGAATTTTTAGTCCACAAACCAGCACTGAAGTGGAAACAAACAGTACCCATCTTCTTGCTGCTGCTGTTTTTCCCCCAGCTGCAATGCCCCGTCCCCCACTGTGCCAGTCGAGAATTAGTGTAGCCACGTACTGAACTGCAGCGGAGAAATCGCCTGGCATCATTTTGGATTGGTGGATTAGTTTTTTGTGTAGCTGCACGAATGCTTGCACCAGATCAGGAGGGCGATAACAGGGATGGAGCGAGTGGCCCAGGGTGCAGGGGAGGGTGACTGCTCGTTTGCCTGAACTGAACTGCCAGCTTCAGCCGTGTGCCTGGAATGACACTATTAGGCCATGATGATGTCCGTACCCGTTATTTCACCGATCAGTGAACACTTTAAAAATGTTTTCTGTATTTATAAATTTGATCCCGTGACATTTGGGGAAATATCCTTTCCTTGTTTTTTTCCTCCCTGTAGATTTTCTTTGCCCTCAGCACTATGTAGGCTGCAGCAGGCAGTGGGGTTGAGATTCAGGAGGGTCATTGATCCCTCACCCACTCCATTTGTCCCAAACACATAGCAATGGGGAGGCTGTATTGTAAATGTTTGCAGGGGCCAGGGGCAATTGTTTAAATCAATTACCATCTTTAAACCTTATGACTGATTGGGAGAAACCAGATAGGGTGGAAGAGGTGGGGAAAGAAGACGACAATTTTAAGGCTCAGCCAGAAAATGCTGGGACCTACTGTTGCAGAGGAAGGTCTTGGAATGGGCATGTGCTACAGAGCCCGAAGAGACTGGTAGGCAGAAACCTCTGAAAGTTTTGCCTCACGTCCGCATCCATTTCGACTTTCATCAGCCTGTGTTAGGCTTTGCTGACAGCGCGGTGACATGGTAACCAGCTCAGTGAGCAGTGAATGAGCTGTGCGGCTTGGCAGGCAGCGCGCAGATGTGCTGCTGCTCTGTGGAGGTCATCTGCATCCTTGCATGTTCCATTCCCTTTAATCACGCTCTTCTGTCCTCACTGGTCATTTGTTACTTACAGAGAGAATTAATAAAAAAGACCAGTTTCCTAAATAGAGTGTTTGAAATGTTCTGAACCTATGTGAAACAACTTGTAAAAATATGCTGGTGTCTTTTCCTTCCTCATTCTGGCAGATGGAATTAGCTTGTCCCTGCAGAATATATATCCATCACTTCAGGGATTTCAGTAGTTTCTGTTGTTGCAATTTGCTGCAACTGTCTCATTCATTATGATTTTGCATCATGACCTTTCTTCTTTATAGCCCTGTAAGCTGTCGGGCCTGCAGTGTTATTTCTCTTTGTTAAGCTATTTTCTATATGCCTTGCAGGGTTATTTCTACAGTCCCAAGCAATTGTTAGCAGTCTTCTAGCATCTGTGAGGCCGTTGTCTCTATTAGTACTGGAGAGTTAGTGGGGCAGATGCTTTGCGAGGTTGTCCAAAGCCAACGGGTTTCTCACCAGATACGGGTGACTTTTGTCACTTCCCCTTACCACCCGTAAGCATCATCTGTGCCAGCTTTTCCAGCATGCATTTCAACTCCTAAGTCACCGACATTTATGCCAAGGTGTGATGCATGATGCAAGCCAGTCCCCCAGTCTGTTTCCAGTGACTTCCCTGCGTGCTGGATGGGACTCAGTGGTTTGCAGCTGCCTAGAGGTCGGTGGGAGGTGATGTTCCTTTCTCAGCTAGCACACTATTGCCATACCTGCGGAGACGCGTTTCTGCCGCAAAGCTTGAAAAGATTGCCTGCCGTTCAACCATTTGCATATGCTTTTCCTACTTTCTTCCCTTTGTCCCTTGGATATTCCAACTGAGTCCATGCTTCCTTTGCACAAATGCGCTGTGAATGTGCAGATTTGACCATGCCAAAGCAACTGGTGTTTTTAATTATATCCATATTTTGCAGAGAAAAATCAAAGACTCAGAAAAATCTGAGTTCAATCCGCAATTAATTAGCGTTCCCATCTGCTTGTCATGCTTGACTGGAATTTTAGAAGAGACTAAAACTACAAAATTGGTAGTTAAGTCCTTCCATCAGTTGTTTGCTGCCTGTCTAGTATTGTAGGTTCTATCTGAATCTGATTCTGTGCACTCACACCTTACATACTCTATTGATTGGTAAGTTTGCTATTCACCATTATTCAAATTTAAACTAGATGTCATTACAAATACCTGTGTCAGGTGCCGCTATTGGAATAGCAAACTTTAGTTCCTAAAATTCAGTCTCTTGGTGTCTTTGCTAGATTTTAGTCCTAACTGGATGGAGAACTTCACAAACTCAGCAAAACATCTTCTGCAATTGCTTTGTGGTGTTCAGCAATCAAATAGTCCCTTTAGTCTGCCTGGCCTGTGATGTTCTGCGGGTGCATGCATCCTAGATTAAAATCACTCTCATCAGTTAACTGTCTACCGAGCCAGCCACGTTTTCTTACTAATCCATTATGCTGGAATAAGAATGCCTGTCTTAACTGCCACTGCCCCCCTACCAACAGCCTGCTTCTTCCCTTCTGAGCTGTCACGTTTCTTACTCGGTTGACTGTGCAAGACTTAGGTTCTGTAAGTCCCTGTGGGGGCCTTTTTGTAACATCTTCTATTATCACTGGCCTTCATTTGAATGTTTTTTTCGCTAACAACCTGCTATATTCAAAAAAGAAGAGCAACAACCAACCTTGTACAGTCTTACTGGCATGGTTCTTCTTTGTACCTGACTGCTGTAGTGCAGTATATGGCCATATTTCTCCAGCTTATTGGTAGGGCTTGTCACTCCCGTTTTGTTTGTGTGCGTGGAAGTGAGTGAGTTTATTCTGGTTTGGTTTGCATGTCATGAAGCTGCAGCCATTTCTGGTGTTTAATGGAGTATTGGTTGAAAACAGCTACCAAAGACTGCTTTCCAAAGGAAGCCCTTTTCACTCTGTAATGGCAGTCATTTTCTCGGGGACAAGTGAACTCCTTTTCAGTGTGACAAGTGAGGCTGCTGCCCGTGGGAATGCATGGTTGATTTTCTATGCACCGTTTTTCCTGGCTATAGGTAGGCTTTATATGCTGACCTCATGGGCAAAGCAAGTAGGAGTTTCCATGTTTTAATTGAGACATTTTTTCCCTAAAAGATCTTGAATGCTGAAATTTTCTATTCTCATTCTACCTGAGTGCCCATAACTACTGTAGTAGGACCATCCAGTTTGCTACTTGACTGAGCAGTGTGGCAGCCTTTCTAATTCCATTGTTTTCACCTCTTACAGGAAGCAGCAAGCATGTTGCGTCTTATGCAGAACAGGCTGAAGGAAGAGGAGCAGCACCTGCTTAAGAGTGGAAGTAAGTGGGGCTTCTATGCTGCTTGTGTTAGCAGAAAAATCGTTAGGTACAGGCTACTTCATGTGTAAGTATCCACTTAGAAGCATGAAGCAGACATGGAGAGACACGGAGTCAACAGGCTGTATTAAAAAAGTGGAAGGATAATAACTTGAAAAGGACAACAGTGAAACAGGGAGCGTAACCTCTGTGAAACGCACCTCTGCCTTGTAAATTTTACTCACAGTGCTGAGGGATGGAGAGACTCATCAACTAAATGTGCTGTGCAATTGCAGTGAGCAGATTTTAGGCTTTGTTTTATATTCTCTGAGCCCATCCAGGCTAGCTGTGGGCACGGCACTTGTCCCAGCACGGTGGGATTGCTGAGGAAAGGGTTGTTTGCTGAAAATCTTGATTAGAGGATTCTACCTAGCAAAAGTTTTGCGTGTAGGTGAGTAGTCGCATTGGTCCGTGGGACTGCTCACCTGCCTCGTATTACACGTGTGCTGGTGTGCCTTGCAAAGGGAGTGTAATTTCTATCCTCAGCAGTTAGTCTGCCACGCTGCATGGCATGGAGTTTGGTTATGTGTTCGGATTAGTTCTTTGTGAAGTCTCTATCCGATTGTAGCTTCCAAGGATGAAAAACCCTCAGCTTGAAATCCTCTTTAATATCAGTAATCTTCAAAGGGGGGTCCACCTTTGCCTGCTTGCGTTTGCTTGGTTTTAGTGTACCTGCAAAATGTGAATGCAATTAAAATGTGGGTTTTTTTCTTTTTTTCTAAACTTACTGTTAATTAATTAGAATTCTAACTGAGGCTCAGAAGGGAATAATAACCTCTTGAGATTTTGCAGAAAGCTAACAAACCAGATTTTGCTCTTTTTGAGCCAAGCATCAGCAAGAACTTCCTCGTTAAATACCCCTGTGAATTTTGCAATATGTGCATTTTTATATGGTAGTGGGAAAAAATTAAAAAGGAAAGTTAATTCTTAGGATCAGAGGGAGAGTTTGCAACAGCTGAAATTGAGTAAGGACATAACAGTTGCGCTTCACAGTTTGTTTGCTTGCAGAGATTTTCAGAAAAAGCTCATGAAAGAGGAAATTCACTCATTTCTGCCCATCTTTGATCTCATCTTCTTATGTCAGTGCAGTAAAAAGTGAAGAACTTTTAGCTGAAATAGGAGATTTGTTATATAAATTACAAGAACGTGGAATTGTTTGAGGTATTTTCTTGAGTGAAAAAGTCCAGGTCCTGCTATCTGAGGTTCCAGGGTGAAGAAGTTCAAGAGAAGAACATCTGTCACCAGTAATTAGCATTATGAAGTATAACATGAACATTTGCTGAACTGATTTCTCCTCATCCGTGGATTTTCGCTTGGAAAACTGTTTGTCGTTTTGCACCTCTGCAATAGTATGAACCTTGCCTTTCAGTGAGTGATTTAACTGCCACCTAAGAACCTAATGATTATGACTTTTAATGACCTAAAAATATTGCCATAATACATCTTTATTCAAGTACTTAATTGTCATAATTAGCAATTATTCTGGCAATAAGAGCACCAAGATCCTATTTTTCAGTGCTGGCTCATTTCTTGACTGTCCCATAACCTTGGAAAACCAAGTCATCTTTGTCAGCACCAGCCTGCCTTTATCTGCACGCGGTGTGGAAGTCTGCAGGGGTGTGACAGAGACAATAAATTTGGCTCTCAGAGGCTGTTTCCCCAGTCACAAGCACAGAGCACGGCTTCATTACTGAGTGCTGCAAGGTTAATTTATTGGATGTCGTGAAGCTCTCCGAGGCCACGGTTTGCTAACATGTAATGATCAGGTACCAGGCTGTGCTTTCCCCTCAGACCAGACCCCGCTCTCCTCCTCTCGTTATTAGTTAAATGATGCCCTTTATACAGTTCAAAACCAAGAGATTGCCTTGGTAAGAGAGTGCAGAGGTTGGTGTCTTACATGGCAGAGTGTCCTGTTAGGGATATGTTCACGGAACGGTTCTGTTAATCCCAGGATCCTTGTCCCCCAAAAATTACATTTTTTTGCACAAGAGGAAGCAAAGAAAGAGTGGCAGAATGGCTGCAGCATCGCTGAACAGCTTTGCCTGCCCAAACGCCCCCTCCAAAAGTGAATAGGGAAATTCACGCTAGAAATAAGCAGCAGGACAAGGGATGGAGTTTTGTGCCGTAGAGGATTCCTGGGAACCCTGCGACCTTGGCCTGGCGGGTAGTGATTTCATCAACAGTACTGTGAGCATTGTGGGGAAATGGTGTCAAGTGCCACAGGCCTGAGCCGTTCAACCTTCTTGCCCCTGTGTTTGCAGATACTGCATGCTGCATCCTCCTCTGAGACAGGATGTGTCCTGTTAATGAGACAGGCACAAGGAACGTGAGACAGGGGCTGTTCTTCACCGTCAGACACGTCTTTCTAAAGTGGGTGTTGGGAGGAAAAAATACTTCCTTATTCCACTTGCATTTTTGGGTCATGCCCCACACACAAAGCAAAATGCTTTGATCCTAAGGTTTTTTCCATCTTCAGCTTATCAAAAAATTTAGGACTTCATTGTCTGCACCTTCAACCCAGCAAAGACAATTGTGCTTGCTCACAGGACTGTTAAAGCAGACCCTGCTCTGACTTGCTCATGCAACGGGCTCTGGAGACGAAGGGATTAGCCTCTTCCTCTTGCAGCTCCGCTCAGCGGAAGCTCGGCAGGCTGCCCTGACATCTCCCAGTATCCCAAAACTCTCTGGCTGAATCTTGAAGGTCTGGGGTGGTGGAATGAGCTTCGATTGAACAGGTTCACTGCTTTCCTACACAGAGGGGTAGCACAGGGCCAGTGCCTCCTGCAAGGAGGTTCTCTAACTCACATTACATTTTGCCCCTGAGAGCTGCAAAACACTTAATGAGGCTCTTCTAACAGCACAGGCTGGAATCTGGTGATAGATTTATTCCCATTAACTGATAAAAGTCAGCCCCCAGTCCATTCTGACCTGGTGAGCACTCTTACCTTTGCGTTACCTTCGTAATTGATGCAGTTCTCATTGTCTGGATCCTTTGACCTTATTTCGTGCTAATTTGTTAAGAAGGGTTGCAAATTAACAATTCATTTCTCTGCAGCAGAAGTTGCAGGAATTCTGGTCAGCTCTCAGTTGAGTTTCAGGCTGAACTAACTCCAGAGAAACCTAAATCTCATTTTTCAGGTTCATCGGGCAGGTCTGTGTTAAGAATATAGGAAGCCCACGGATATGTCATGGTGCTCACATCAAATTTGCAAAAATGGTTAGTCTAATCCAGAAAAAGCCTAGTTCTTTTTTTCTTTTACTAGCATACATGGCAAATCATCTTGTACTTCTGACAGAGCAACCCATAAAACCACTGCACTAAAAAGAGAAGAAAAGCCCACGCTGTTATATGAAAACCCATTCTTAAATTATGTAAAGATGTTGAACTCTAGAGGCAGATCAGGCTTTGAGTATTATTTACATGGTGAAAAAACAGGCAGTTGAGTACTTGCAGCAGCATAGAGATGTTTTTTTGCGATGAGTGGGAAGTAAATTGCTGTTATTTCCGTAATCTTCATTTCACATGAGATGCTCTTAGAGCAACCGCTATACGAGGTGTTGTTTTTCACACAGTGTGCTGCCCCTGTGGCACATCCAAGGTTGGTGCAAAGTAACAAATGCCATTTGACTAAAACTCAGGGCTTGGTTCCTTTGTGGTTAATGGAACAGTGACTCTTCAAACATTACATCAGATGCTGTACGGCTGAGCGCTGGGAAGGCTGTCGATAGAACTATTGTCAAGTGTAGATAGGTGAAGGTTGCTCTGATAATGGTTTGGGGGGAGAGGAGAGGGTCACTGACCGCAGCAGAAATTTAAAATGGTTTTTCAGGATCATCCAAGGTTGAAAAAACATGTTTGTTGAGCAAAAAATAACAAGTGGAAATGTTTCTAGACTGAAATACATTTTTTCACACTAATGGGTTTGTTTCACTTACAGATTTTTCTCACTTTTTTACACCCTTTTTCACACAGGTTTTCTCTTGTTCTTTTTGTTTAATATTTTTGTCAATTTAAAAGCAGACTGTATCACTAAAGTTTAAAAAAGTAAAATATAAAAAAGTAAAATATAAAAATAAGCCTTTCAAAATATTTGCTGTACTTCCTTGGGCTAACAGTATGCCCCAGGATTTGATTTTAATTTGCAAAAGTATGTGCTGTAAAATTGCATTTGACCGTGCCGCTTTCTCGCGTGCTGCTGCAGTCAGCCCACCCTGCCTACTCCTGCTCGGGCTGTGCAATGAAGAAACATCCATGTCACACAGCCCTTGAAATTTGCACTATGTCGATACTGTTCAGCAATAGCAACAGGATTGACTGATGCTCCTGGAGAGCTTCAGTTCTGCTCGAGCTACAACCCAAGTGTTTCCTTGGCCAGCTCCTCTTGCTGAGGTAACTCTTTCTCTTCTGGCAGCCAAGCAAAATGTGCTCAGCTCTAGGGTCTCGCTCAATTAAACAGAGCAAATATAGATGTTGGGCTTTGGATTGCAAATCGTGTGACGCTGTTGCAGTTTGGTGCTGTACTGAATCTCCTGTACTCTTTCTCCTCCAGAACTGATGCTTTAGCCTCTGACAGCAGATAAATAAAAAGTCCCATTGCAACAACTGCGGCATTTGAAGTGTAGCAGTGAGTTGCTGGGTAATTCCCACGAGGGCAAGATGCCTGGATGATATTGCTAATGCTCAGCACTGTCACCAGCAGGATGCTCAGGCCATCCATCTTCTTGTTACAGACACTTGGAATTCTTCCATGATACTCTTGTGTTTTGCTTGTTAAATAATTGCAAATTCATGTTCTAATTTAATAATACTTTGATGGATTTTTGGCTTTTAAGATCATTAGAAATAGTTATGGTCACTGAATATGACCCCTCTATAAAATGGGCCAAAAAATAGCTTAGCTACTTAGTCCTGTGCCAAAACTACAAATCCCAGTTTAAATGGAGCTTGTCATCGAGAGTTATTT